GCGTGTTGATCATCAGAGCATCTTGTCACAGAACTTCAGTACTTGGCAGCGTAAGTACTTTCAGAAACTTCTGTAGATCAATGCTTTGAGAAACTCTTCAATCAATATTCTTCTATACTTCTGATGCTTCAGCTTCAGATGCTTCTGATTATCTTCAGATGCTTCTGACTATCTTCAGATGCTTCTGACTCAGAATGTTCTGGAGCTTCTTGCTTCAGATCCTTCTGGAGACTACGCTCAGGATCTTCTGTAAGGAGCAAACAGATTCTTCTGTAAGGTGCATCTGGCGCTTCAGAGTCAGAATAGCTTCTTGTATTCAAGGCAGATTTGCTTCTAGAGAGTTAATATAATTTTAATCTGCAGCAAAACTCTCAAACAAATTTTAGAGTATATAATTCTTAAATATAAATTTCCTAACAGTTATCATCAAAACAAAGAGTAATTATTAAGAACCAATCTGTGTTCTAACAAGAGTTAGTACATTGAGGTATTTAAGCATTTCAATTAGTTTATTTTTGAGATTTTGGTGATATATGAAATATAATTTTAGAAGAAAATTTTAGATTTTTTATTGATACATTATTATGTTGTGTTGTTGTTGATATATTATTTTGTTTATATATTATAAAATTTTAGAATATTTATATTTCTGTTGTTGTTGATATTTTTTTGTTGATATTTTATAAATATTATTTTTGTTTATTGTGTTGTTGTTGTTGAAAGAAAAAAATAAAAATAATTTGTAGTAAAATATATATTTTTAGAATAGGTAGAAATGAAATATTTTTTAAGAAACTAAGAGGGTTAATATCGTCTCGATTTCTATAAATAAAAAGTGAAAATGTTTATTAATATGTTTTAGACTAAATCAATTATATAGATACATATACTTTTTAAAATTATGACATTAATTAAATATTTATATACAAAAATCATACTTAAGTATAATTCATTTTTTTAGAAAATGGAGAACGTCTCTACATAACTAAGAGAGTGAATATTTAAAGAATAACTTTAGGCATATTTCACTATTTTTCTTCTTCATTATGGTCTAACAACTAAATGAGAGGAGTCTCATCGGTTGAATCATGCTATTCATGTGTGTGTGATACCATACATTAACCATAAATATGGATAACAACTTTTTTACCTTCTATCGAAGATGAATATGACAGTTGCTTGTCATGTTAACATGCATATTAGATTAAACATTTTTATATCTGTGACATGAATTTCATGTAACTAAATATTTATATTTTTTTAATATATATTATTTTAATTTTTTAAATTTTATAATTAATATTTAATATTTATTTTAATTTTATAGCTGTTTTTAGTTAATATTTATTTTTATTTTTTTATTATTAAATTTTATAGTGAAGTGCAAACAATGTCACTATTATAAAACATACTTTTGTTGTGGCATGTATATCACGTCACTGATTAGTGACGTGAAAATCACATGGGAACCAATCCAAGTCACAAATTAATGACGTGAGAATCACATGGGAACAAACATTTTGTTATTTGCGACGTGGAAACTATGTCACAACTTTGTGACGTGTTTTCCACGTGGAAACATGTTCTCACCATTGCATTTCCGGCGTGTTTTAACCATGTCGCAAAAGTTGGTTAGTGAAGTGGTTTTTGAGTTACTGACGTGAAAATCACTCGAAAAAATGCAATGTTTCTTGTAGTAATTATACTTATTCAGTTTAAGTTTAAATAGGTGTTATTAAATGATTGATTAAAAAAGATTTAGTTTTTAAAGTAGGATCTTAACTAATAGATCTGCGTAGTGATTATACTTATTCAGTTTAAGTTTAAATAGGTGTTATTAAATGATTGATTAAAAAAGATTTAGTTTTTAAAGTAGGATCTTAAGACCATCTCCAACGGTGGTTCTTCAAATTGGTTTGTTAACTTGGCATTGAAATTGTCAACAAAAAGTTGTTCCAGCTGGTGAACGTTCCTTGCATAAACAATGGTTCTTTTTTTTTTATTATTAAAATAATTATTTAACTTGTTGGTTTTATTTATTTTTTTTTTAACTTTTTTTATTTATTATAAATATAAGTTTGTTGCAAAAATTTATAACAATCCTATTTTCTCTCACTTTTATTTACTATTTAATTTTAAATTTCTCTCTCACAATTTCATCATTTTATTCATAAATTATTATTTTCAATTTTATGTTTAATTTTAATTTTATGTTTAGTTTATATTTATAGTAATTAAAATTTAAATATTTAAATTATAATTTTAAATAAAATAAATTTAATATAAATAATATATTTAAGTAAAGTAGTGGGACCCAATATAGGTTCTTTGAAGTTGCACCATTGGAGTGAAAATTGAATAAGTTGTTTTAGAAGAGTGGGTCCCACAAAGAACCTAAAAATGAGTTGCACCATTGGAGGTGCTCTAACTAATAGATATGCACCCTTAAAAATAGCTAATAGATATGCTCCCTTAAAAATATCCTATATTATAGTTATCT